GGAATGGAATAAATGCCCAGAAACAGACTCTCAGACATATGGAAAATCTTTCACAAAAGTGACATCACAAATCAGCTGAGAAAGGACGAGTTATTTCGTAAGCGGTTCTGGGAAGATGGACTATCCAAAGAGGAAAAAGGGTAGGTCCCTGCTTCCCTTGATAAGGAGCCAAATGCGGAATTCAAAACTTTAACATTTTTTAAGAGACTATGTAGCAGAGTGTCTTTATAGAATTGGAGTAGGCAAGGATTTCTTAAATGAGTCTCAAGAAGCACAAAATACATACAAATATCCATATATTTACCACATTAAAACTAAAAATTGTTGAAAGGCACGATAAAGTTTACAAGACAAGTCACAGTCAAGAGAAACGTTTGCAGTGCACATGGTTGACAAAGGATTAGAATCTAGAATATTTACAAAATCCCTAAAAAGCAATAAAAAAAGAAAAGCAATTCAATAGGAAAATTGGCAAAGGAAATGACCACATCGTTCACGGAAGTCAATCCAAACTGTCTAATAAAGATATGAAAATGTGCCCAGCCTTACCAATAGTCAGCGGAATGCACATTAAAGCAATGAAATACCATTTCCTTTCCACCAGAAAGGCAAAAATTAAGAAGCCTGACAGCAGATATTGGGTATGATTGGGGGAAATAGGATCTTCCATACACTATTGTCAGACTACTTGGAACAATCCTTTTAGAAAGCAGTTTGGCTGAAGGTCCTCATAACAAAACAGAACTTATGAATGAATGATAAAAAATAAGAAGTTGATATTCCTTGTGTGCCCTGCTTGGCAGCATTCCCCTCATCCAACCCCAAATCCTGAATTTTGTTTGCGTTATTCCTTTCCTTCGCTTTACTTTTTTATCACATGTTATGTAACTCCAGACACAATAATGCTTAGTTTTCTACTGTCTTTACACTTCGTGTCAATGGTATCATAATGTATGTAATCTTTGATGTCTTGCTATTTTAGCCTAATGTTATTTTTTCTGAGATTCATCCAAACGTATGTGTATACCCTACGGTTCACTAATTTTTCACTGCTACAATGGAATACCATAATTTATATCCAAGCAGTGCTGTGAGGGACATTTTGAACATGTGTCAAGGAGGACATCTGTGAGAGTTTCTTGACCTTCTCCAGAGTAATGCTAAGGTATTTATGTTCTAGAAGTGAAATTGCTACATCAAGGGATATGAGCTTCATCATCACTAGATAATGCAGAATTCTTTACCAATATACATTCTTATCATCACTGTATGAGTTCCTGTTGCTCCATGTCCCCACTAACACTTGGTGTCATCAAAGCTTTAAATTTTTATCAATCTGGTGGGTATAAAATGGCGTCTCATGTTGGTTTTAGTTTGCATTTTCTTCCTAATAAAATTGAATATATTTTGCCTTTTTTTTTACTACTTATGTTTTCTATGAAATGCCTATTCATGTCTTTTGTCTATTTTTCTATTGGCCTGTTTGTATTTTTCTTATCGATATTTTGAAGTTCTTTATATAGTTTGGATACTAATTCTTTGTTGGTTGTATGTGTGAAAATATCTTCTCCTCATTTATAGCTTTTTTACTTTCTTTTTGCGATATAGAAGTTTGTAATTAACATAATTGAATGACTATCTGTTCTTGGGGAGTAGGGCGAGTCATCTTACTGTTGTTTTAATTTGCATTTCTTTGATCACTAGTAAGCTTGAACAGTTTTTCATGTTTGTTGGCCATTTGCATTTTTGTCAGCTTTTTAAATGTCCTTTTGCCAATTTTCTACTGATTTGTAAAGGACTTTGTATGTTAAGGCTATTAACCCTTTGTCACATTTGTTGGGAATATTTCCTCCAGTTTTTCATTACTTTAAAATTTTGCTTAAAATTCCATTTGTTGAGAATGTATTGAAGCATATTTGAACCTATTATTCTTTCTTTTCCTGTTTTTGTTTTTTGCATTTAACACTTTAATTCATCTGGAATTAATTTTACTGTGGAGAGATGACATTAATCAACTGTCTCTCCTTTATCCATTGATTTGTGATACCATTTTTATTATACACTAACATTTTATGTTTATTTAGGTCTGTACTTTGGCCATACACTTTGCTGTGTTAATAATAACTAATTTATCAGGCCTTGCCCAAGATATGTACTTTGTTTACTGTTAACTTTACAGTAAATTTTACTGTTTGGTCAGGCAAATTCCTTTGATTACGCCTTCTTTTCAGACTTTCTTGGATCATCTCAGAAGAGGCATTCTCCATTTGTCCAATCAAATATTCCACTTGTTTCCCAGAGTGTTAGCATATAAACAAGATGCAGCTTCTCAATTCTCATAGTGTTACAAAAATATGAACTATTATCCTCACAACTTTTCTTGGATTCAGGAGGAATTGTTGAATGCTCCAGGATCAGAGCTTCGGATAGTAATTAATGCTGTACCATTGAGAGTGAAAACGAACTGCTTGATAAAATGTTTCATAGGGGCTTTCTATAGTCATGCTTCAGTCACTTTCAGCCAAGGCATTTTCTAAACCAACAGGGCCTGCTGAAATAATTCTCTCTCCTTGGTAGACAATAAAGAAGACAGGCTTTCACAAACAATGTCATTATTCCTATTGAAAAAATGAAACACCTTGATTAATGTATCAATGGATCTGTTTGTGGTGAAATAATATTGTGATACAGGAATGGATGTGGTGTGCCCTCAGTGTCTTCTCCCCATCAGAGTGGGTGGAAAGAGGTCCTTCCTCTGTTCAGGCCTTGGCTGTTGAGTTTGAGAAAGCGGAGGTCCAGTTGTGAAACAACAGTTGGACTGGACAAACATGTTGTCTATCAGGTAGGGCTAGATTTTCCCAGCCCTGGAGACCAGAACTAGGGAGAGGGGAGGGAGGCTTTGGAGATGGATTATGTTGGGGAGAGGTTAGTAGGGCTCTGGGCAGGAGTGTGGATGGTGCAGAGCCTCCACTCCAGCAAATACCAAAGTGTCCAAGGTCATGCCATAAGGGACAGCTCTCTCTTTCCAGAAAAAGAAACCAAACTCCAATGGAATACTAAGCCCATTTGAGTGTTTTATAAGTGTAAGGTTACTATGAGAGCATTCTAGTCTCTGCTTGAGTGCAGATTAAATCCTGCCAAAGTCCAGCTCTGCACAGGGGTCCTCCTAGCTGGTTTCATGAGTGGTCCCATACATGAGAACCAGGCACAGTTGAATAGCAAGTTAACCTAATCACCTCGTATTGGGGACTGTTGGTGAAATACCCAATTATATAAAACCTTACACTCATCCAGGATAAGTCATTTATTCCTTTTACCTCCATTTCTCATCTATAAAATGGGGAGGCATACATACAACTTCTCACATGCCAGAATGCTTTTTGATAAATAAAACAACGTTTGCAAGAGTACATTTGATAAAATGATGCTAAAGAAGTTTAGGAAAAATTCTACTTTGCATGTTTCTGAACTTTTCTGTCCTTTTGAGTCACTCAGAAAAAAGAAGGAAACTACTAAAGGGAAGGGTGTGGTTCGGTAAAACACTGAACACAGGTGCTTATAAAAGAGCAATTCTTGAGGACAGTAGACTAATAATGCTACCTCAAAGTGTTACAAATTGTAGCAACATCACCCCACTGATTAACGGCTCTATTAGCTTCTTTCACTGAATGATCCAAGACACTCTAAAAGCAAATATTTTGCACGGTCATTTCTTGATATATTTGTCAAACGAAATGACTCACAGAAGAGCAAATTAGTAGTAGGTGATAGAAAAGCAAAGAGAAGGCTTAGCTATAGGTTCCAAACTGGTGGCCTGAGAACAAAATTGGACTTGCAGATATATTTTGTGGAGCCTCACAATGTTGGTTGGCCCTGTGTTGGAAAATGTTTTGGATTGTTGTCAACATTTAAAAAGCTGGAGATTTCATACGAACACAATTGGTTGGAGCCTGCTAGCCGCCTCCTTCTTTAGACAGAACTGTTGTTTTTTCAGTTTGCCATAGTCTACACCACTCTCTAGTATCCTCTTCTGGTTCTCATTTACAATGCCCAACCGGTCCCTCCAGTCATTTGAGTTTGTAACCCCTGACTCAGATAATGCCAAAGGATGGGGAAGGATCTTTTGCGGTCTAGATTAGGAACCTAAAAAGGAGACCTGAGGTCTTGAAGAAAGTCAATGGAATGAAAGCTAATTCAACATACCTGACGTAAATGTTTTCAATAAAAACACTTTTTATAGATCACAAGTTAGAACAATCTTTTCTTTGTTTTGAAATATGTTAAAGGACTTTCATTTAAATAACAATGGCTATATTAAACTACTCTGATAGCTACCAAAACTCTAATGAAAGGCAAAGAATTCACTTTACTATGGAATCAGCAGCGGCTACTGCCTACCAAACTTTGCAAGCAGCAGCAGAATACAACTTGCAGTGGCAATTAGTATATTGCATCTTAAAAGTGAGGGAAATTTTCAAGGAATTTGCTTGCTTTTTACCACCACCTACAAATTTGGGACAGAGTACCAGGCAAAGTGAATGTGTATTTTGGAAAATTATCAGTGTCAGCAGGATGCTACCGTTTTGCATCATATTCCCCGGTTCACCAACAAGGAAAAAAGCTCTCAGTCCCAGACTGTATATATACACAGAGAGAGGGAACATTGGGGCAGTGCTGGAAGTTAACTGTCATTTGGTTGTTTCAGACAATTTTCACTGGCATTTGCATGGTCTCTCCTGGTTATTGTGTGTCTCATTTCAAGGAGTCTGAATCTTCTAGTGGAAGGCAATTCCTTAGTGACTTCCACAACCGGCTGGTAAGTTTCATTTGCCTTAAACAGTTGACCTCAAAAACGCATCAATCTGTATATGCAGACATGCATCACTGCCATCATCTGACTAGGTAACCCTGGACCAAAAGCTGAGAGAGAGCGCTTGATTCTTTCCTCCCCAAGTAAGGAAACCGACTCCCCACTCCCCCAAAATCAATGGAATACAAAGTTGATTTGAGTATTTTATTTATAAATGTACATTTACTATAAAAGCTGTTGCATTTTAGACAACTTTTTATTTTTATTTTTTTACTATTTATCAGAGGCATTTTAGAATAAATATTTTAAATGAAGGTTAGTGTAACTGACATAGAACATTGGCCCACCCAGAACGGTAACATCTTTCGGACGGACTCACATGGGAGGTGGATCATTTCAGTTCGTTAAGTCTTAGACTGTGTATCGATAACTATACTACGTATTGCATTAATAACACTACATAGAAAGAATGAGGAAATGTCATGAAAGTTTGCTAGTGAAAAACAAAGAGTTACCCATTTTTTCTTAAAAAAGAGAAGGGACTGGCTTTTGGAGTATGAGGGAAAAAATCAGATATATTTCCTCAGGAACAATAAATCACTGAGTTGCCTTATCTGTTTTTTAAACAAACACATTTACATTGTAGCTGAACAGAGCAGAGCATTTTTTTCCCCCTAGGATCTCAAAGATTATTTGCAAAGAAATAGATCATACTCATTATGCTGCATTGGAAAAAACAAGATCTAGTCTGCCCAAGCTGCCATGTAACAGACTCCAAATGAAATATAAATCAAATATAAATAGAAACAGTTGGCAATTAGAATTTAGAAAATGTTGGAGATTATTCTGTGCTGGTGACTATTGTTCATTATGGGAAAGCACGTTTTGCAGTTGGAGAATAGGGCTTTATTTTTCTTGACTGGATTCTAGCTTCAATACATGTACAATGAGTCTCCCTAAGAAATATGTATAAATGGGTTTGTGAAACCAGAAGAGAATGTGCAATATTCATATAATCCTTACATAACGGATGGAGTTCCACGTGTAAAAAGTGTTCTATAAAAATCGGTTATGAATGATCCTATTGTACATGTTTTGTGCATTATTTGTGGTAAAGTACTCTGCTAATATCATGCAAAGTGTAAACATCCACATTATCAAAATATTTAATAAAACATGCAGGTGCTTAATCAAAATATTGGACTTAATCTGTACATTTTCAAAACTTTTTTCTTTTTAATTTTTTCTATTTTTATTTTTATTTTTTCAACATTTTTTCTCCTGTAAAACAGCAAACACCTCTATGAGAAGTCTTGGGATTTGGAAGTGACTTCATCTTTCCTCAATGTTCTGCATCCACAATTCATCACTGGCTATGTGCAACAGCTTCGCGTTTTCTAAGGCACAATTTTTAATGAAGTGATGTGTAAATTTCAGTCTAACAACAGCTCATCCAAATGACAAAATGATCAAATACCGCCGGGGGCTGAGGAAATTTCTGCACTTACATGGAACCCGCATGCAGAGAATCGTCTAGCATGTAAATAAATAATTGCTAGCCATACTCAATAAGACACAGAAAAAAATTATTGCTTACATAACAACAGAAAAACATCTACTCAATCTCCTTTTATGACTACTTTAACCTATTAGGAGTATATTCATAGTCTACATTCACAAAAATGTCATCTTCACTTATTTGCCATCGTTTTAAGGCAGAATAAATCGTTCTCCTTTCCCCAGTCTTACAGAAAAAACGGCCTGGAGATCTAAAATGTGATGCTTTTTAGTAACTTGACTCCTTTCTTGGCCTGCTGAAACTCATCACACAGGACAAAAAAATAAACCAGTTCTCCACAAGAGTTCCTCTCTAAACTTCTCCACGAGCAAGGTCCAGAGTTCCTGATAGTACAGAGAGTTGGTGATGGAGGAGAATGAAGGAGAGCAGATATCTGTTAGAGTGGGCAGGGCACAGTGTGAGCTGTTGGTTCTTGCTGATCACACACCAGTGGCTTATCACATCTTGTTGCATTTGGATTCTATTAGGATGGACTTAGTACTTTTCTTTAGACACCTGTGCTTCAGGCCCTCAAGGAGAACTTTGTAGGCAAGGGTGAGCAGTGGTCACACCTAATGATGGACTTATCTCGACGGGAGCTTCCACGTGCCTCATGTTAAGTCTCTTATTGAATCTAGAGCCTGAAGAGAAGCAAGAAACGAAGCCCTCATGGCTATCATCAACCCACCAGTCTTTTGAAGATGAAACTTCCTCATAGATTTTGGTAATAACTTTGGAAATGATGACTGAAATATTTCCCTCTGGTTTCTTCCTACCCTTGGGCAACGTCCCAGAGTGTAAGTCTCGCCAATATTGCAAGGGTTCTCTTTATTTGACAGACCAGCCTATATTAATGACATAACTTCCAAAGTACACAAAATCTAATACTAACGGTGCAATAATTTATTGGTATGATTTCTACTTCAAAAGGTAAGTAACACAAATGTTTCAGGATTACAGTATATATTATCAGACTAGCAACTTTGCATTAAAAACAAGTTATAGCTCAGTGCTATATGGTGTGATTTTTAGTTTCTGAAATGCATTAATTGTATGCTCCTGTCTTAGAAGACCACGTCTCAAATTGGCATGTCTTGCACTTTCTGCGGCTCGATTCTGTAAACATAAAGTGTTTAATTCCTAGAAATACTAAAACAAAACAGATTCATTGCATCATTTATCTCATTAATCCCCAAAGAAGAGAATAACACTTTTTAAACCGTAAGCCTGTTTGACCATGCTAAGACCTTTTTTGAACTATTCAGGACCATTACAATTCAATATTCTTTTGTATATACTGTGCAAATGCAAAAAAAAAAAAAAAAAACCAGGAAAAACAAAACAAACACTGTGCTACAAAAGAACAGATACCATCTTTTAGAATAGCCTTTCAGAAATTAGATGATGAATAATGAGAAGTCCCTGAAGTTGGGATTTTGTTAAACGATTGCCAGAGGACACTCTCAATAAAGAAATGGTGAGTGATCTGGAAGCTTGAAAACCAAGTCACAACGTTGTGGGTTGGCCAGCACCTGTGATAAAGAAATCAGAGCAATGTTCCGTTAAAGTAGTCAATGCTTCTTGCTTCACATATTTAAAAACTTTCCAAATTAGCAATGACCTCTGCCAAAATCCCTTCCCTCTAGGGAGGGGAAGCTTGTCCCACCCAGCTATTCAAAGTGTGGTCCAAGAGGAGCAGTATTGGTATCACCTGCAGCTTGTTGAAATGCAGACTCTTGAGCCCCACCCCAGAACTTAACAAGGCGCACAAGTGATTCATACGCCCTGTAAAATTTGGTTGAAATCCTCCAGATTTCAAATGGTCTAAACCAAATAATCTCCATTCAAGTTTTCTACCTTGTCTTCTGGGGAAAGTAAGCAAGAAAATAATCTCTTCTCTCAGCTTCTTTAGGTTTTGGTTTCTCTAAAAATAAATATATTGCAACAGGAGGAATTTGACATATGATCTAGAAATAGGATTGCTAGATTTAGCAAATAAAAATATAGAACAATCAGCAAAATTTGAATTTTAGGTAAACAACAAATGAAATTTATTCCATGTGATATTTGAGATATACTTGTGCTAAATCCTGAGCATGCAATATTTGAGATGTACACATACAAAATTTCATTGTTTATCTGAAATTCAAACTTAACAGGGCAAAAAAATTTTAACTGGGCATCTTGTATTTCATCTGGAAACCCTATCTAGAAAGGATTGTTTGGGTTCCATATTTCCTGCTGAACCTTCACAAAGTTTCTCCTTCATTTTAGAGTTGTGATGAGGCAATCACAACACTGGAAAAGACCCTAGGGAGTTTGCATTAAAAGCATGTCACGAGAGTGAATGATGGAATGGACATAACGACACAGTCATCCAGCACCCAAGCACAAATGGTACCAGTTAAACATGCGATGGCTTGATTCATGACAGGTAATTTGTTTTGCACTTCCATTCCCATTTACATACATACTTAAAAACTGTTTACATTGCTTTTAGGAATTGCATTTTAATAAGCTGTTATGCTATTTTTCCCCTCCAAGGGAAAAATTTCATTTAAATGTGACTAGTTACTTGAAGAAAATAGGATTATATATTCAGGTTTTATTATTCCACACTGACATTATTTTGTTTCACTTCAAATGCTTATCATGTTAACCACCCCTCACATCTATCCATCTCCCTTCTTCTCAGCTCAGATCAAGCAAACCAGAAAAGAAAGAAAAAATGATTTTTAGCCATTTCTTTCCATTCTGACCCTTTTATTGCATCTGGGGTATATTCAACCAATTCGAGTGTATTGATACTTCTCTAGCCAATTATTATCCCCTCCACCTATTCATGCCTAAGGTATATATTTTTTTCTTATGACATCAAGAAAGAAATGAGCAGTATTCTTAGATGTGCTGGTCATTCTTCTTGTCGTGTGTTGACTTAATTAAAATTTATCCTAAAATGATATTAACATTTATCTAGAAAAATAAACATGGAAGAAGGGTTAAGAGAATCTGGAAAAAATAATGGGGAGAGAAGGTGGCCATTATTACTCAATATTAAAACAAATTATGAAGCCATAATAATTAAAACTATTCAATACTGGAGAATAAATAGGTTAATAAAACATAATAAAATATCCAGAAATAGACCCAAATACATATGGGAACTTAGTTTAAGAGAAAATTGGCATTGCAAATTAGTGAGAAAAAAAGAGACTATTCATTAAGTGATATTCACACAATTGGCTAATGGGGAAAAAATGTTGGAGAGCTATTCCCTCAACATGCATTCCTGATGATCACATATGTACATGTGAAAAAGAAAACAAAAAACAATTCTACGTGAAATCTCAAATTTATTTATGCCATTGGAGTAGTGAGAGTTTCTCTAAGTAGGACACATAAAACTGAATCCAAAAAGGAAAAAAAAAGATGTATTTAATTACTAAAATGAAAATTTTTTCTATGAGAAAAATCACAAAGTGGAAAGACCAATGACAACTACAATAAACAGCAAATATAAGACAAAGGGAAAATTAATTTATAAAGAACTCATACAAATCAAGGGCCAAGAGAACAACAGGTAAAGAATAGAGAAGCGCTTTATAGAAAAAAAAATATAGATGAGGAATAAACATATGAGAAGATGTTCAAACTCACTTATAATTAAAGATACACAGATCAAAGCAATGAGGTTCTCCTCCACCTAGCAGAGTGGAAATTTGTAAAGTTTGATGCTATCCAGAGCTGACGCAGGCATGGAGAGAAAGGGGCTCTCATACACTTTGCAGGGAAAGCGCTCTCCTCTGGAAGATAATTAGCCAAGCAGTCTGAAAATTTTAAAAGGCTTTTAACTCAGCAGTCCCACTGCTCAGAATGGAAATGCTTTCAAAGGTTCATCAGGATATACATACAAGTATGTTCATTGGAGCATTTAAAAAATAATATTAAGAAAGGGGAAACAACAAAAGTGTCCATTCATAGAGTTAGTTTTAAATTATGGTAAGTCCATACAATGGGATCATATGTAACTATCTAAAAAGCCATTAAAAAGAATGAGGAGAAAGAATATGTTATATGGAAAAATTGCCAAGATATATCACTAAGTTAAAAATAGCCACAAAAACTAAGTACGGATCATTGTGACTTTGTGATTACCTTTGTGAAATAAAAACCAACACACACGCAGGTCCATGCATCACACACACACACACCTGTGTGTGTGTACACATATACAAACATACATTCTGCAGGTCTCTGTAAGAAATTATTAGAGAGTGATTATAGTGGTTAATTTTGGAGATTTTCATGTTTAATTTGGTGTCTCTGAACAATCCAATTTTTCTAACCTTGTATCATTTGACTTTTATTTCTTTATTCTTTTGAATCTCTATAGGGGTTATCTAGGCAGAGAGATAATGAGCTTTTTTGCTTTCTTCTTAGTATCTTAGTATTCCCCCCCCCAAAAAAAAACCTAGTAAAAATATTGCATTAAAAATATAAAATAAACAAAGGAAAAAAATCACATCTCTAGTCTACCTCCAAATCACTTTCTTATTTTTCATCTTATGAGACTGTTACAGGAACTTCTCAGTTATTGTCTTTAGATTTGGAATTAAAAGCAGTTAATGCCCTTTATATTCGTATATATAAGAGAAAAATTCCTGGCCTAGATCCGAAAAGCTAATTTCCAAAAGAAATGACAATGAATCATCCAACTTCTCAATTAAAATAAAAATCTGTATGAAAACAGGTCACTGTCACCCAGAGGTGGGTTCAGGTTTGTTCTCTGCTGGCATCCTTCAAGCACTTTAAATTATGAAAGAAATTCTGATTTACAGCACTTTTCAAATCTGCTTGACAGTCACTCAATCTAACAGTGCCCTCTTCTGGTTCCACGATTCACATTCAGCTGGTTCACTGAGGCTGGAAAAAGTATAATTTGTACGAGATGACAGGAAAAATCACTTTGAAATCTGGGAAAAAAGGGTTTAGTTTTCCTTTCTAATGTATAAAAACAAAACAAACAAAATCCAGTTTAAATAATATATATAGTTCTTATATGTTATACATGTATATATGTATTTGTGTATGTATGTATATACTTATGGGATATATATGGTATACTGTTTAAACCATATTTGATATATTTAATACATAGTATAAAAATCAATATCAATAATATATATATTTATACCATATATACACACATTATATATACATGGTATAAATATATATAAATATATATAAAAATATAAATTATATGTAATATAGGGTATAAATAGTCCAGTTTGACGGTAGAAGCTCTAAGTTGCAACAGTTTTGACCTCAAATCAAATGTTTATCATAGATCAAAACCACCTGGGTTTGATCTAATTTTTAGTTCCCATCATTTTATTAAAATACACATATATTTCTCTGAATTTGCTAAATCTATAGCAATAAAACAAATTGATTTCAACTTTTCAGTCTTGTAGATTTAGAAATCCATGTTAAAAAAGCTGTAAAATATTACTTCACTTACTTTGAGAAATATTTTTAATATTATAATTTTAATAGAAATATTAATACTTTATATTATTATTTGACATTCTTGAATTTCAAACTCCATATCTTCACTCCCATTTTTTCCCAAGAGTTTCTGACTGACGAATGTGCACAGAAGAGTCTGCTCTGTCTAGGTTATTCACCAGAAGGACTCAACTTAGGATGGAAAGTGAGGAAGGATTCAGAGGCTAGCCACTGGCTATTTTCAGATTTTCTAAACAGCAGCTGGGCAACAGCACCCCCTGGTGTCCCCAAAACTAACACGAACCTTCTATGGTAGGAGACCCAGAAACAAGACTGGAGGGCAGGCTGCTCAAGGGAGCTTTAAGGCAGCACACACTTGTTAAGCTCTGATTATATATACTAAGAAATTTTGGAGCAGGGAAGCGATTCACCAAGAAGCAGAGCCCATCATTTTATCTCTCAAGGAACTTTCAATTTAGTTGGAACAAATCCATATCATGTCATGAAACTCCTGAAAGTAGGGCGTGTAAATATCAAGGAGTTGGTGCTTGAATTGATGAACAATGGAGAGCCATTCTTCACTCTTAAACCATCCCTCAAATGGTACTGGTCTTCTAAAGATATGCCTCAGCAAGTGAATAGAGTTTCACACATCTTATATCTTCCTTCTGCCTCACCAGAATCTCTATGGTGAGTTCAGGCAATGTCTCAGACTTGGTCTACAGTTTTTATCTGCTGGTGTATTCCTGCACTTAAGGATAAAAAGAATTTGGCCACACTGTAGCAGTAGCTCCTAGTAAGAAACAAGTGGTAAACAAGGGGTTATTTCATTACGATTTCTTTTACCTAGATACTAATAAATCTTTCCCTCAGGGTGGGAGTGTCAACTGATAGGGAGAAATAACTGAATTCCTAAATTGGGTCCTACAAAAGGCATACGAATGCACTCACTCATCTTGAGGTATTTCACCCCAGTACTTACTTCTGGATCGCATGTAGCAATCATTACAGTTTAGAAGACCATTTCGAATCCTAACGTCTGTCCCACTGACTGCATCTCCAAGCTGTCCTTTACAAATTCCACACTATAGGGCAGAAAGAACAGAAGTTATAAGGTGCATAAGGAATCGTCTCTGTATAACGCTTAGTTACTGTTTACACGCATAGCACAACAATCACTTCCACGACCTCCACATTTGTTGAGCATCTATGGTGTTAGATGCTGCACCAAGGGTTGACTTATAGCAACAATGTACCTTTAGCATTTTATCCTAACTCCTTGCATTTCACAGAGGACACTGGTTCGGAGAAGTTAACTGACTTGTCCAAGGTTGTGAAGTTGGTAAGTGGTGTTGAGTTGATCCCCAAAACTATGCTGTTAACCTCTCTAATACAGCATTTCTAAGTCAAGACGAAGAACCATTTTAAATAGATTAAATCCTAGTGGTTTTAAATAAACACATGGCCAAAAGATTATCAATTGAAATTTGTCTGTGAATAACCTTTAAATGCTTTCTAGCATTGTCGGCAAGTTCTACCAGATCAGAATTACTAGGAAATAGGTATTCCAACTCATATTTCCACATTAAAGGCAGTGATACCCAGGGTAACAAATCCACTGGGAATGGAACTCCTTTCAGCCAAGTCAACCTGAGTGCAGAAGGAGACTATGGGACACACTGTCCTGGTTGTACCAGAGAAGGTGGCAGTGGTGGGCTGGTTCAGATGCCAGCCTCCTGCAAGGGAATCAGTACCCAGCTCAAGAGAACAGGGCCAGCCCAGACTCATGCTCTAAGGTCACCTGGGCAAAGGAAGACTTCATCTAAATTATGTTACAAGCTGCATCTTCATCACAAGTGTAGGGGATAAATCTAAGAAGTGATGTACCTTAAAGCATCAGGTCAGCTCCAGGAAGTGAATTATTAGAGAGAAGAAAGGCTTTGACAGCTAAGAAGGCAAGGCTCCTATCCCTTGACAATCTGCAAAGACTCTTTGCCGCCTCCATTACTTTGAGTTCTGGTAAAGTTTCTGAGAACAAACTGTCATGCTGGAACATACTGTCTTGGCATTACCATGAAATTTTAAAATTATATTCCTTGAGCCTCAAAAACCTCTTAGACAATTTAGGATATACATTATCTAGGTTAATTTTACAATGAGAATATTAATAAATTGAGTCTAATTAAGTATCCCTATTGTTTTGCCCATGATAAGTGCTGCTTTCCAAAAAACTTGTTTGATTACAGATATTATTAAATCAATAATTTCACTTGATCAGCTTACAGGTAGAGGAGTTATTTTAAGGCCATGCAAGTTTACTTTATAGTTGAGGGAGCTACCAACAAGAAACAGAACAAAAACCAAGAAGGAAAAAGAAAGTATGCTAGGGTTATGAAGAGAAAGACATGACTCTTATTCAGAGCTAGGGGGTTTAGCTTCAAAAATTGTATCTTAATTTGAAATGTGTCCATGCATGGAAAAAAAGGAAATGCTGATATAGTCCAACTTGTAAATTTTATAATAAATCAGATCTAAGTGGTTAGCTCACCTACTTATTGGCAGGAGATCTGGGACCAGAATCACGGTCCGGTCCCTGCCCTTATGGAGCGGACAGCTTTTAGAGGAGATGATAATTAAACAATTCAACAATGAGAGATAAGGACTGTGAAAGGTTCTGTAAGGACCTGCAACAAAGGCAAGTCACTTAGTCTGGGCAGCTTTTCAGAGGGAGTGATATTCAATCTGGGATTACAGACATATTCATCCAGAGACCTACGATTTTGAAACTTGCTTTAACCACCTAATTGACAGAAAATCTTCCACTGGGTCAAAGACTAAAAACCTTTGACATTAAATCACAAGAGTTTAAGAAGCAGTAAAGATGTTACATTCCAAATAAATCCATATGGCCTTAAAAGATTCAGAAGTATCATTGTCCTCCCACGGCAGCATTCCTGGCTTCCCGCTCGAGTATATGCTCTTTAGCAACAAAAACTGTTTCATAAAGACGCAGCGTACAAATTTGGTTTGGTTCTTCCAACCCAACATCTCAGAGGGATGTGTGATAGGAGAGTTTCATCCTGGAGGATGGGCTCCATGAACACCTCTACACAACCTAGAGGGGAGAGGCCTCAGAAGCAAAGGCCGTTGGGATTTCCAGGACATATTTCCCAGAACCTTGCCAAAAGACATCCTGAAATTGTACTTAGAGAGAAGAGTGATGAATACATACCCTAAAGCACTGGATGTGAAAATAGAGATTGAGGGTCTCAATGATCATTGCAGCTCCTTTCCCCAAAGGAAGCCCACAGGAAGAGCACAGTTTCTTCCCACTTATAGACCTAGGTGTCAATATATATACATATTAATAGAATGTTCCTTTTAGAATAGTTTGTCAAACACACAAACATACAGCCTCATGCAAAAAATGAAAACATGAATTTTTAAAATGTTTATATATCATGAATGAAATGATAATCACTGAACTGACAATGAGCAGGAAATAAAACATTATATAGAAGTTGCAACAACTGCTAAATACAATAGGCCTCCACTGTAGCAAGGAATTTGGTGTGTGTATGTGCGTATGTTTTAGTTATTTGTCACAGGAAGTTTGTGTTGTAATCTATTCAACCACAGTGATCAAATGTCTTGAAATAATTAAATGTATTTACCATATATTTTCATAAGTCCTAAAAGATAGTCAAATTTAGCTTTCCTAAGGTTTCAATGTTGCTTTGAAATTTTCTATAATTGGTAATCTGTCCACTAGGTAGGGCATTTTTATTTACTTATTAAGAAAGAATTTTTTTTTGTTTAAAAATAGAGAGGCAATTGTGATACAGCCCAACAGGTCCCAGGCAGATGTGCGGCCCAACCCCTGCTCTGTCACCAAGGTCTGCGATCTGGTGTAAAGAACTCACTTTGGGTTTCCCTTTCACCTTTAAAATGAGAGGATTGGACTAGATTCTCTCTACTACCTCTTGCAGTGTAAACACTCTGTGACTATGATCTGGGCACACCCCATCCTCTCTGAGTTGTAAGCCCACTGACGGCTGTGTCTGCCCCATCTCTGTACCCATGCAGCCCGTAGTACAGTGTCCACCAATGGACTAGAACCAAACCCAGCAGACTGACAGCAGGTGACAGAATTTGATGGCTGTCCTCCAAGGCAGCTTTCCCACAACTGAGATCAGACTGTAGTGACGCCTATAGTCTGGAAAGCTTTTGGATTACACAAGACATTTTAAAATATGCAACATCACTCAGAAGCCAGTAGGGTACAGAGGGACAGCAGAAACAGAAAGGAAGATAAGAGATAAGCAGAAGAGTCACCCTGAGCAAACCCTATTTATTAGGATTTCCCTCTCATCCAGTAGTTAAATGGAATTTCTAAATCAAAGAAAACCTCTGAGTACTCAGTAATTTGTCTGTCCAGTGAATAGGAACTCAGGCAGCTTTTAAGAATATCATGGGGCCCAATTAGCATTGAGAAGCAATCATTAGAGTGCTTGAGTAGGATAAAAGAGAAGGATGAAGTTTCATTTCTTAGCCCCTGCCTGGGTCTCTGTAAGAGCCATCAGCGGATCTTGCCTGCAAGGAGTGGGTCGTCTTGCAGCGAAAGGCGCCGACTTGGGAGCCCAGCAATTGTCTGGTGGATTTTATTATTAGATTGCAGGTTCCCCACAATGTAATTAAAGCCTGATGGCCACAGCCACGCCAACATCACACACTTGGCTTTTTCTATCGTGGGCTGCAGGCGGGTGGGGACTGGGTTCCTTCCTCCTGCCTACGTACATGTGTTGGAAAAGATGTGGAAGGGCAAATCCCTCAAAATCATTTGGCAAGCACTTATTTGATTGAAATTATGCTTGGCAGGCTCTAGTCAAAACAAAGCAGCCTCAGAAAGGCTGGATGACCTCTTGTACCTGGTTGGTGACTGGCCAGGAGGGGTGTGAGAACAGGGGGACAAGTGGCCCGCCTGGAAGTTCTCTCGAGGGCTTTTCCTGTAATACGGTAGAGGAGCCAAAAATTATGACAGGTAAAGAGAAGGCCGATCCCACAAGAAACGACATTTTAAATAAGAAAAAAAACTTCCTTGACAACCAAATAAAAGACCACAGAGTGCCCTAGTGTAATTTTTTATAAAGGACAAAAAAGAGTAATTCCATGTAGCAAATATCATACATGCATTGGCTGCATAATGTCAAAACCAGGCTGGCATTGTTGAACAGAAAAGACAGAATATTTTTCTAATCTCTATTTCTGTCACGGTCTTTGCTTAGTTAAAACTGCATTTGGAGTTGGATATAAAAATTATGGACTGGGTGGGAGGAGAGAGATGAGTAGGGACATGGGGAAAAGCTCTTAAAGAGCCCAGAAATAAAGGGCAGAGCTTAAAGTTGGTATTTTTCAGTGAGGTGGCTTCCACCCCTATCAATAAATTCATCGTGGGAACATGTGATTAGGTGTGATGTTCAAAACATTTAATAACCACTGTGTCATGGCATTTCCAAAGCAGAATGGTCCCCAGTCAGAAGCTACCAGAATGGTTTTACAGGTGCTGTCGGTTGCACATGAGCCCTGCCTGTGATTAAGCTGTCAGTTGTTGGCTCTGGCTTATACAAGTTAATTTCATTTGTACAGAAAGGGATAGAACACAGAAAAAAACAAGGAAAAGAGAAACGCCAACATAGAAGTGAACAGAGCATGAGTCCATCTGTCTTCCAGCTGCTTTTAAAATAACTCCCTGAGCCGCCTGCCCATCCGAACCTCCCTTCTCAGGCAGAGCTTGTCTTCTCCACAATAGCACGTTTTCATGTGATACCCTAAAGTATCAGTACCATGGCCTTAAAAAAAAGAGGTTGAATCACACTGCAATAATCAATAATAATGATTACTTCTCTGTGATTTTAGCTTCTGTTGATTCTGAGTGTCATCTAGACATACAGAAACAAAATTGGATAGATGTAAGAGAAAAGGGGTTCAAACACTGTTTTGAGAAAAAACATAACAAGAAAAATAAGTAGAAAGATGAACTTATAAAACAAGTTATCATCATCATCATCATCACCATCATCGTCATTATCACCACCATCACCTGCACTATATAGTACTTATTATTTGCCAGGCATAAAAGCCTGTGAGGTAGTACTACTATTACTCCCATTTGATACATGAGGAAACTAAAGCAGAGAAAGATTAAGTATCCTGCTCAAAGTTCTATGCGGCAGAGTCAAAATTTGAATCCAGGTGGTCTGGTTCCAAGTAGAATCATTGGTTAAAATATAGTGAATGTTATATTTTTAAAACTGATTACGAGGGATCTCTGGCTCAAATACGATGTTATCATGGAACTGTGGGTTCATTTTGAATTCCTCTACTACTTAACCAGTCAAATACTTTGGATAAGTTATTTAATTTCCCTGAGCCTCAATTTCCTCGCCTGTAAAAAGGGAACAATAACCCAATAAAGTTACTGGGAGAGCTAAGCGAGTTAATGTATGAAAAGAAGAGGAGAGATATGTAAACTCTTCAATGCAGTGCCTATTATACTGAAATACTTCAAAAATGATAGAAACTATTATTATTGTAAAAAAAAATATTTCTTACAAAATTAGAATATAGCCTGGGGTAGCTATGTTAAGGGAGAGAATGATAATGGGAGAAACATATTTTTCTTCCTTGAAAAAACATTTGTCAATAGGCTCTGAGACAACTTAACTCACTTAAATAAACTGCTAGTACAATAGACCTGCAAATTCTCTCCAATTTTTAGATTTGTGGGTAAAAACATTATTACGCCTTTTTCAAATTGATAAATTCAGAGTAAATATTTACTTGCTGGGAAGATTGTCCAATCTTCCATAAGTATTTGTTACCTTGTCAATGAAGTCCAATGGAGTGAAAGCACAAAAATGCTGCTAACATCTTGCCAACTCACACTTTCTCATTTTTCTCCCTTCTTAGTCACTAAATTTAAAAAAAAAAAAGAATTCCACATCCATCTCATTTGGCTACTCACTTCCGCCTTTCACTTGGAGACTCAATCTGATGGTTAATGCTTTTATCCAATGGGAGAGTTTTTGGCTTCACATCTTCTAGAACGTGCATCGGTGGGTTTGATACCTGCTGATTCTGGGATGGATCTGAGGCCAAGGAAAGAACATAAACTTAGTGCTCAGTAACGTCACCTTACTGCTTAGAAGTCACCTTTCTTTAAAGTGCTGATGCCTGCTGACGTCTCACAGGGATTTCCTGAAGACTCTGGGCACATAGTAGTGGAGTTGGGTCACTGAACTGTTCAGCATAAGCTACTAGTTGGCATAAACCCAGTTTACTCATTGTTCTGTTCAGCACAAGCTAGAAAAGAAGCTTGCAGGTAGCAGAGGTCATATCTGTCCAGACGATGTGAGGGGTCTTCTAATAATTTAAACATTGGGGTTGGTCTTCTCCATTCTTACCCTGAGCTAGCTGTGGGTTCACCCCACAGGGTGGGGCCCCAGCTTCTGCATCCCACTGATCACCCTGATGGATTCCTTTTGATCCGGGGTTCTCAGAATGAGTCAAGGCCCCTTGAGTTAGGCTGTTAAAATAAACAAATATATTTCAGAACAGAGATAAAAGCAACTGAACTAAACTGATTGATCTTATCCCTCAGGGCATGGAAGCACCAATTACAATATGAAAAAAGAAACGGGGCTAACTAAATGTTTATTTATTCTTTTTGTCTTAAACTAGATTTAAAATGGATTTAAAATACTGTAAAATGCTACACATTTTCATTATCCATCAATTTAACAAGCTTGAGAAACTATCATTTCCCTTGTCTTCCCCATCTCCCTGCCCACAAAGCTCTTCATTCTAATAATTTCAAGGGCTGCCAGAGCCAACTGGAATCTCCCAGATTTTCAGAGGAGAGGACTTGTAGAAATCATTTGGGCCACACGGGACTTTGGCAGCCTGTGGTAATTCACTGGCTTTTCAGTAGCTTCTGTGTGCAAAGAAAGGAGAGATGGAGATCATAAATCGTCTCTGATGACAACAGGCCCTGTCTGGAGAACTAGCAAAAATTCACACAAAATTTTACCAGCATTATTCAAATACTCCTGACTAGTGGCTTTCATTTCATAAAACTGGAAAGTCCCTTTAAACAGTGTTAATTGGAAACAGATGTCCTATTCCAAGGGCTTTGCAGAATCTGGACCTGGGCCCTGAGCTTCAATAGCCTACAATTTACCCAGTCTTTTAGCTGATGAGCAGAGGAGAATTCTAGAGCAAATCCCATAGAAAAGCTCAGCTCCCAGATAACCTTTCAAATTGGCCAGTCTTTGAAAATGACACTTAGATAGCCTTTTGTGTCTTTGGGTCCCTCTGAGAATGGCATGTGTGTGTGTGCGCCCACACGCATGCGTGCGCACAGCCTAGTACAGCATGCACGCTTATCAATACCTATCCATATCTCAGAGTCATAAAGAACTTGCTCATGGCAGAGCACTGCTAGCCTCCTAGGTTTCTGCCGGTCCCTTCTAGGTTAGGTGTGGGGTGGCATAAATAAACCCACCACACCCCATAGCTACAACCAGATTCTGCTCCTGTCTGAGCCAGCTCTGAATGCTGCAGGGATTTCTGGGTGCACTGTTCTGATCTCCCTCGGAACATACTGGAACCCGTGGGTGAGGTGATTACCCACAATCAATCAATTTGTTGGTTATCTTTTATATTATCACCCACAGTAAATGTGGCTTCTCACAGCTCAGAGGATACTAATGACAAAGCTCAGGTCCACAGGAAAACCACAGTGGGTGGGACCTCATTTCAACCTCTATCCCTCCAGCTACATTAACCATTTCAGGGGACTGATATTTAGGTTTGGTGCTTTGAATTGACAACATGCTCCTGTGATAATCTATACTGTCTCCTCTTACTTAAAAAAAAGTTTCACCTTTTCTTTATTTAAAAATAAGTCTATTTATAGGCTTAAAAATAAGGCTATTTATATTCAATAGCATAAGGACACGGACTTCCAGAGCTATTAGAATGTGTTCGAGCAGTATGTAACGTATTACTGGAATGATCGTTTCAAAGCTGAATATGATTTGCATTAGCAATAGGTATTCTTCCTCAGAGTGAACGGGCAGAGCCCAGCTTTGCGAATTTTGACAGGCAGCCTGGTATGCTTCATACCTGCCCTTTTCCTCCACTGGATCACCTTCTCTAGTCTTAAGCAATAAATCATTGTTGTCCTCCTGGAATGGTTTCTTCTGTCTTGTCTCTTCTTCCTCTCGACAGTTTTCCAAGTCCATCTTATTCTAATAGAGAAAACAAGGATAATCTTAAATATACATTTTAAACACACTGGACAACACTTATCTCTGGCCATGGGATATTTGAAGCATTTTTCAATCGCAAAGCCTAGAATTTAAAGGATGGTCATCCAAATTAATAGCAACTGATTTCCAATTGTTGGAATAAACATGTTATCTAGATCTCTCTCAAAAGCTATCATAAAAAGGATTTGGTTAGAAAACCCACTTTTCAAAGTAAAACAAAGTCATAGGACTGCTCATTTCAGGGCAAATGGCTGTCTAGTGTCTAGTGTTTATGCAGACTATGGACTATCCAGGTCTTGGTAGGATTTCTGCCCAGTACCTCCATGACCTTAATTGGAATACAGAGGTAGACCAGCCTTTCTGGGTTCTATCTGGCCCTCAAAGACACATGTAAATTTCATGTGGCATTTTAAGAGCTGTTTAGAAACAATTTTTGTGGAGGCTGGTGGAGAGCAGACTGTTGGCATCCTGCTGCTACCATCCAGAGCAAAGGAATGTTTGGTTTGGCAGAGAGGAATAGATGTCTGTTGAATGAATGAATGATGGGCAGTAAGAAGGACACTCCTGCATATGGCTCCATTAATTGAGATTTTGTCAGCCAGTACAGAAAGACATTGGTTGCCAGCCTGTGGGGGCAGATCTGGCCTGAGTAATGACTTTACTGCTCCTCAGAAAATGACTCTAGGGTTTGGTCATGGTAGTGACAGTACCATGGGGTACAATGGGCACATAGGAGCCGACGTGATTCTAAGGAAATAGCCAGTCCTGGATTTAAACTGGTGGAAAACTTGGCCTTGTGGTTTTGTACTTCTATTTAGGTTTATTTATTTCACAAATTGCTTTTAATCTATGGTCTTACCACTGTCCCACTGGCTTCAGTCATGGAGGAGGATGTAGACAACTGGTCTGCAGAATTTGAAGAAATAGTAAATGGAACCACAGTGTCTTCAATTATCTTGCGCTCCTAATGGGAAGGACAGAAATTAATGAAAGGGAAAAAAAGGAAAAATCCTATCTATTCAAGAGAAAAATTTCATTAAGGAACTTTAGAAAAAAACCCATCAGAATTATGTACAAACATGCAGAGCATTAAAAAAAAGTCTTATTTTCTGAAAGCATGTAATCAGATAACACTCTCTATGGGCAATGATTTAGAAATTAGCATTCTATTTAGAAAAACAAAGTCTTTGCAAATTAATTAGTTAGTGTGATTCAAGAAGCCTAATTAGAAATGCTATTAGAGATCAGATTACGCACAAAAATTGTTGTTGAAGATAAAATTGACAAAAATATTAATCATAAAGAAATTTTAGAAAACACATAAAATGTAGCTCCCTTCAAATTCTCTAATGTGGTCTCACTTTTTCATCTAAAAAAAAGAGACAAAACAAAGTTCTCTGCCTTTCCAAATCTTTTTAGGACTATATAGTGAATGCAGTGGTAAGAATTCACTTAGCCTCGATATCAAAACTATACTCATAAAATTAATTCACTACTACTACAAATGCTTGCCTCAAACAAACACACAAATGAATAAATTGATACTTTCATCTCTCTCAGATAAATCAAGAAAAATCAAGAATGTGACTTGGACTAAAGAACAGATACGATTATATTGTCTCCCTTCACCATGACTCTGCACACCCGAACCACAAACTAAATTTGGGGGAATTGTGGTCTTTTGGAGCCTGTAGGATGTGACTCTTTTAAAGAGGTCGATGGGCTTTGCTGTGAGTAAAAAGAATCAGACACAGCCACATGCGTGCACACAGCACAGACACAAAAACCGTTGATAGAGTTTGAGGAATTAGGACTACGAGATCAAACGCCTTCTTAGGAATTTCCTACCTCCTCATAGTATCTGCGTTCTTCCTCTTCCACCTCCTTTTGGGCCTTTTCCCATTCTTCTTTCAGCTTGTCCTGCTCCTTCTGGTATCTCTCCTGTTATGGAATTCCCATAGATTGTTCTGAACTGATCATTGCATACATTGTTAGGACTTTTCTCCCCTCTACACCACCACGTATAACATGTTGCAAGACTATGTTCTTGTAACATTCTGAATCTAACTGATTCATGCAACAAAAGGGGAAGACTATTTTGTGTTATCAAACGTGTTAGGAACATAAAAAATCCAATGGATAGCAATGTTTTTGGCTGGTGGTGTTTGATAGAATTGTTCTTCAGATATATGAGTAGACTTGTTCTTCAGATATATGAGTAGACATTTGCTTACGGAAAGAGAAAAGATGGAAAAATGGAAAGATTCTAAAATCTTCCTTAACTTGGATTTTGTCCTAGGATGTAGGCTAAACCGATAGTTTCCTTTTACTGGATCCTTCAGTGAGTTTTACTGTTCCACTAATAAAAATACATTGCCACTGGTAGAGTTCAATAAAAGATTAAAAAAAAATACCTTATAGGTTTACGAGATAGACAATGCAGAAGGGTCCAAAGTGGACAAGATGATAATTAGCTGAGTAGCTGAATTACTCTTTCTTGTAGCCATTCTACCAAAATGGAATCTTCCTAGCATTAAAAGCTTTTCTTAATTCGGAAGTTACTTAAACAGGCCATTAGAAGGCTTCAATATTAGAACTGCCATTCTTGTTTTCAGAAACAATACAACACTAGTCACCACTTCTGGGAAAAAAATAAAATACTCTGAATAAGGATGGCTTGAAAAATGTGACTGGAGTCCCTGAGAGCTGACGAGAAAAAAATAAATGGAGATTAACATTAATGCTTAAATTGAGAACTGACACCCGTGGATGCCTTGGGAATGGCATCCCTGTCATGACAGACAAAGGAATCACTGAGGTGCACTACACACAGTCAAATGTTTTAGGCTGATTATTGTCAATCCTCTCCCTGAGGCTAAAACAAGTCTGTGCTTCTATCTTCCTGGGGAAGGCACTGAGAATTCCTCCAGGTATTGCCTGTTATGTCATTACCTCAGGAGCAAAAGGACTTTATTGGAATTGTCTGGAGTCTGATGTTCTTATTAACGCTCTGGCAAAACCACTGTTGGTCAACCCATGGCTTTTAACTCCAGGTAAAAATTTGTTACCAAAACCTAGTATTGTAAAGTTTTAGAGAGGGACTTCAGGGGCTTTTCAGAATAGAGGAAACACACCCAAAACTTCACAAAAGCTGAAAAACTTTTTTGGCTTATTGGTTCTAGGAGCTCACCACTTGCTCCCTCACCAAGAGGATGAACTGACGATGCAGGGAGTGAAAGATGTGGTGCGTCTGTAGCACACACACAACTTTCTTTCCCCCACAAACACCTTGCCCCAAAGCCCACAACCCATGATGCCACACTGGGTAGCAATTTGGTGGGACAGGAACAATACATATGCCTGTTATCTGTAACCACGGCCACCCTGCAGAGTGTAACAGACAGAGCAACACAATGGGCAGCACACTCGCCTGTCTGCCTTACTCTGTGGAATTTTTGACTGTTGGCTGTTCACCATTTAGCTGAAGAATGGGCACCTGATTTCCAGGAGAATAGCAGATGGCCAGGGCTGGTCTGGGGTCTCCCAATGGACCTAAGGGTCCCCAAAGCTTCCAGATTCAGGGACTTTGCTGAATCTGGTTCTAACTAACATTTTGGTATTGAAGATTTACCCCTCTGCAATTGTGAAAAGTGTCAGGATTAACTGGCAGACCTGTAGCCACACTACAACTGACTAACTTCCCAAATTGCCCCTTTGCTCTCTGCTCCTAGCCAAAAGGATTAGAACAAAAAGATAAGAAAAAAATAAGTAAAATAAACTCACATTAAGCATTGCTTTCTACATAACAGCAGAAAATCATCATCAAGATTAATGAGGTTTAACATTCTTTTCCTTTACAATTTTTTAAAAAATATAAAATCAGTACTATTGGGAATATAGTGGAAAGAACATGAGTTTTAAAGTCATCCAGACTTGGACCTGAAACCAAGTTTAACACTTGTTTAACTGTGTGACCTTGGGCAATTAATTTAACTTCTTTGAGCCTTAGTTTTTTCAATTGCAAACTGGAGCTAATAACACATACTTTAAAGAATTGTACAAGGATTAAATTAGATAAAATATGTCAAGCACCAACCACAGTCCTGGCACATCCCCAGGGTCCAGCATAGGTTCGTTTCTAAAGTTACTAGGTTACATTTTGAAGTCCTGTTACTCCACAAAACTGGCGTGAAACAAGTGGGAGCATGATACAAGTGCTCCCAGGATTTTTCTAGACTTGAAAATTAGCAGCTTTTACTCAAAGATGGAGCAAACATTTCTACTTAAGGAACTAGACCCGGGTCAAATTTTATTCCCCATGTTTGCTATCCAATAGCTTTTTGATAAGTCATTCCAACTGCTACTTGGACTGGAATTTGTTTGGCAACTAAGGAGGTGATGAATGGCTGGATTGGCTCTTAATCAATACTTGGATTTTTTTTTTTAATGAAATGCATTGTGTTCATCAGTGTAACTCCTGGCAGGAGGAATTAGACACAGGCATTCTGTCACATGGACACAAAACGAACTGACTTAGACTCATTGACTTCTGAGAAGAATCAGATTCTATGTATTTCCTGTGCTAAAAATCTATTTAACAAAATAACAGAAATTAAGAGCATCATCTAAAAGAAAAAAAAAAAAGCAGCAAACCAGTCCTACCTGGAGCAAACGTTCCTGCTCCTGTTGCCATTTTTCCTGTCGCCTGCGCTCCTCTTCTGGGTCCCATGCCCAGAACTTAAACTGCTTAGGAAATAAAAGCATGATCAGAATTAAGCCATGTCCTCAAGGCCAGGCCAGGAGAAGGGAAACAATTAGCTGATGGCCTGGCACCTGGATGGACACGCAGAAGCAGAAGACTTCACATATCTAAAGGTCCTCTTTGTTGGCAGAAACCACTTTTCAACCTTAGTTCCTCTTTGGTTTACTTCCAAGATGCTGGTATGATTCTGTGAACCTTCTTGGAGCTAATGAAAACATGAAGTGATTTCCCATGACCATGGGAAGGCTTTTCCTTCATTTCTCTTGGAAGTGATTTCTTAAATGCAGTCATGCTCCCGAGCATAAGATATTCATTCTACATACCGATCCTTAGTCCAGACAAGTGGGTCTGATTATTTGAGCAGAACTGCATTTTATAAGAAGTGGGGTGTGCCGCGCCATAAAATTAGTCTTTTGTACTGTTATTGCTGTTCTATACCAGCTGGCCCTAAAGTAGGTTTAACTCACCAATGCCCACAAGGATCACCTGAGGGCAAGGGGAAGCCCCCGCCCTGGGGCCTGCCTAACAAACACTCAAACCCAAAGACTTCTGTCTTTTAAAAAAGGTTTCTGTGAGTTTGGGAACCAAGAGAGTGAGTGAGGATAACGGGAGAAGGCTGCATGAACTGAAGCAGGTGCCCAGGCCACACAATCTGAGATTGAGAGGGTGAAGGGTGGGGGAATCACAGCCTGTCCCTGGAAACCAGCAAAAGAGGGGCTGCTGTGTTTAAAGTTGGCCTCCCCTGTCACCAGCGCAGGAGCCGAGGCCGACCAGGTTCCCCATAACTGCGCTCCCTCCCTTCCCTCTGTGCTGATGGGTAGTTTTGGGAGGCACTTAGAACTGCCTGGGAATCTTGAGAGAAAAAGTGAGGAGAAGGTGGAGGAGTTAGGGAGGTGAGGGAGAGTCTAGAGTGGGGTGAGGAGCAGGCAGAATCTACCTACCCTGGCTGCCTGGGAAGCTGGACAGGGTCAGTCCTGTCCAAGGTTTAGATGGGTCTAGTCATTGCCCAAGAGACCTGGGCCAGCACACCTTTTGCCCTGCCCTGCCCCTAACAGATCCACGCTCCCACTCAGGTGCATGGCTGGGCTGGCCCAGGGGCATCTCCAGGCTGAGAACGCAGGCCAGGCCATGGGTGTTGCTTGATTTATAACATTATAATTATCTATAACTTTAATATGTTTAGACATATGAAACGTGGGCCTAAAATTGGTACACTTGCTGTGGTTCATGCAAATCGTTCGGATGGCTATGATGCCCACAGCAACTCAAAAAAAGGTGGGTAAATAGGGTAGGGAAATGTACTTCCAAATGCCACTCTTGGATTCACACTGCATATCAGCCTACTAAAGGCTCTGACAGGTCATACAGGGAAAAAACTACTCAATGGTATATGATCCAAAGGTTCCCAAATTCCCTTGGATGACCAGAAAATGTTATCTAAATGTCGATCCCAGATGGGAAATTCTATTGCATTCATAATGTTAGAGGTTGTTTCCACCCAGCATTTTCCTGAGACTTACAAGCAAGACTTACAAGTTTAAATGTTCAGTACCTCCCTCAGGAGCATGGCCCTTCTTTGTCTTTTGAGGAAAAAGTTTGTGGTTATGTGAATAAAGCCATAGGGAGCCCAATGGGGAAAGTCCACTAGTAGGAAAACAAGAGCTACAACCAGGAATTACTTAATTTTCAGATTTCACTAGGTAGTAATTGCAAGAATAAGTTGAGAAGGGGGAAGCAGATAGGAGGAGGAAGTGTGGGGTAGGGAGATTGAGCACAGAAGAAAATACGGAATATTTGTTAAAACGGCAACAAAGAAAAACAATGAGCATTTTCAGAGGAAGATAAAGAGGAAGATACCAGTAGGATAAACAAGAGGGAAAGAAAAGGAACTGAGCTCCTTTCTTTGGTGACTATTTGCTGAACACTCACTGTGGGCCAAGTGGGGACACCAGCTGGCCAAGAGTCCCAGCCTTGTGGAGCTTACAACTGAGTGTGTGTGTTAGGGGGTGCGTGGGGGAGTGACCTATTTATAAATGATCACCAGATGACAGTAGAATAACTATCATAAAAGAGATATAAAAGGTGCTAGAGAGTCAGAATGGAGAACATTTAGCCCACTTGTTCTACAATTTATCTGTTTAAGATCTGTATCTTCTTCTGGCCTAGGGATTCCTCAGTGGCAGGCAGGGCCCCTTATCCCCCTTAGTAACCCAAGACTTTGGAATTTCAGGCCTTCAATCAATGTTTGTGGAATAAATGAATGGAATCACTTCATGCTGGCTAATGCATCTCCTTCTTCTCTCCCTTCCACAGACCCTGACCCTAGAGCTTCAGCTCACTCCAAGTCTGACCAAGAAAGGCCTGAGGCTACGGACGTCAGCACAATCAAATGCTTACTTCCTCTTCAAGCTTCTCTCATTTTCAATTTTTTTTTGCTTTTCTATTCTATGAAGAGCTATTTATCATTGAAAGGACATCAAATTTGGGTAACTGTTTTCAGAGGATTCACTTATATAGGTCAGTCATCTGTCTCTTTCTTGTTCTATTCTCATAAGCCTGAAATAAGAATGTACCTCTTTAGAATGCCCTTTCTTTCCACCCTTGCCTGGGTGGGGGGACAAGAACAATTTGACATTGTTGTTCTATGTAATTTAAAACGGAAATCTTCGGATCTGTGCCATGAATGCAAGCTTTGGGGTCCTTCTGCATGTTCCCATCTTCCATGGGTGAACTCAGCTTCCCAGGAAACTCAGGATTCCCAGCGTTGGCTCAAGACCAAGCCTCCACAAATGGTCACTAGTTCTGGAATGTGGCTGGAGATACTGAGGGTGATGTGACAAGCAATGGGTCCCTTCTCCTCTCTGCACAGGCACTTAGAATTCCCAAAGTGAGACAATTTACCTACAGATAAGAATTGGTATTGGCTGTGGTGGGCCTCTTGGATTAGGCACTGGGGAGGATTTGTTCGTGTCCCAGGCACTGTGCTAGAGGCTTCCATATAATTATTTCAATTAAGGCTCACAACACCCTGAAAGGAAGGTATGATAATCTCATTGTACAATCAAGGAAGACAAGGTTCAGAGAAGTCATGTAATACCTTCAGGGTCATATGGTTAGTAAATCTGGAATCAAAGGTGCATCAGTGATCATGTGGCTGCACCCGGGGGGCTCAGGGGAAATGCTACAGTTGATTGTGTCACAGAGGAAGTCTCCAAATCTGATGAGAATTTCAGAGGGTGAACAAGGTGACAGGCCCAGCATTGGAAACACCCAGTTCAGAGAAGACTCAGGTCTATAGAGAGAGTTCAGATATAATTCAACAGCAAGGAATTTCCATGGTGTCATGTGTCTTGATATTTTAATTAGAAAACTGTTAAAAAATTTCATTGATGTACAGTTCATATTGCTCAAGATACTGATTGCGAGAAGGTGTGCAACAAAGACAGCTTGGGTCTCTCAGAGAGAGTCCAGGCTGGGTCCTGCCTGCCAACGGTACACTATGTTGAAGTGTTACCCTCATTTAAAATAGTGATTCTGAAAGCCTACAGAGGTTGTGTATCTTAATACTAACTCCTATTGTCACATTCATTTTCACCGCTTGTTTTCGATTTTATTTCCCTGACTCACTTATCATTTTGTTTCCAGGCACGATAACAACCCCGCACAATGACGATCCGTGTCTGTCTGCATATTCACCTCAGAGCATCATACACAACTTTTAATTGTTCTTTTACAATCAATTGTTTGAAGCCCATTTTTGGTTGACTCTTCTTTAAGCAAATCAAATACCTTATAAATTAAAATTACGCAAAATGCCTGCTCTTATTCCTTAAAATGAGTTACTTACAGGTGTAGTTACAGGGGACTTTTCACTGCCTGGAGAATCCACTGCACAGAAAGAAAGGGAAAAAAGATCACAATGTGAGTGGCTTCTAATTGTCTTTCTTTTTGATCTTCTCAGTGGGGTGTGGTTCCTATGTCAGTTTCAGACCAAGCTGTTTATTTTTGTAAGCCAAGAGCATTAGAAAATCACAAAAAAGCAGATCCCTGAAGCAGTTTGTACCCACCACCAAAAGAAGTTATGACCAATGTAATATGATTGACCACATCAATTAGCACCAGGTACTAGACTCTAGGAGGCAAAAACTATTCCTATTAGTGCTGGTTTTTAATGCACCTTGCATTCTGGCTTGGTTGATCAGTTCCCTCACTGTCTGACATGAGAAGTCTCATACAGAGAGAGGCCAGATGTCATCCAGGAAGTAAACAGAGTGACACAGTTAACAAGAGAACCATTACCAGTCCCCAGTAAATGCTTCTAAACTTTGTTTTTTTAAAAAAAGAGGACAATAAAGAAAGAAATATTATTATTTCTTTGGATTCTTAAAATCAAAGTAAAATTCTGTGGATTTCCTCCCCCCTTTAGTATAACTGGTACTGATATCAAAGAACTAGCTCTTTGCTAACTGTGTGCCAGAAACAAGCATTTCTTTTTTCTGAAATCAGAAATGAAGAAAAATACCAGACATCATTGGTTGCACGCAACATGGATTTTTGCACAAAAGAAACAGCTACCCAGTGTGCGTTTTACCTGACTGGGAGAAAAACTGGGAACGTCGCCAAGAGTTCTGAACTCTAAGCGGAACGCTGGCAATGCCAGGCGACTCTAGATCAGACGGCAGAACAGAACAAACAGAAAACCATGAACACGGGGGTGAGAATTGAATAGACCCATGCTCCCGAGTACCAAAGGAGGTTTGGCTGTGGTCAATATAGGACTTGAAAGTGACAGACTCTCAAGTACAGATTATCTTATAAAATGCATACAAAACCTGAAGACATGGGCAAAAGTCAATAGTAACGGGACAGTGTATGCTATTGTTTGTCTTTGTTGGTTTTAGGTGAAATTTATAGGGTCATTCTCAATGGTGATATTGTTAAAAATGTTAAATCTCTTGGGCCGGCCCCGTGGCCAAGTGGTTAAGTTCTAGTGCTCCACTTGGGCGGCCCAGGGTTTTGCCGGTTCAGATCCTGGGCGCGGACATGGCACCGCTCCTCAGGCCATGCTGAGGCAGCGTCCCACATGCCAACAACTAGAAGGACCTACAACTAAAATATACAACTATGCACTGGGGGGATTTGGGGAGAAAAAGCAGAAAAAAAAAGATTGGTAACAGTTGTTAGCTCAGGTACCAATCTTTAAAAAAAAAGTTAAATCTCAAAATGATAGGATGATATGCTATGCAAGAGCAAAACGCACAGTTTACATTGCTTTTGGGGAATAATGGAAAAGTATAAAAGCAGAGATGAGTTCAATTATTTTTTATGTACCTTACAAAGCTTATTATGGAAGTCTGTGGCAGAAGTTATATATGTGTGTAACAAAACAATGTACATGTGTCTTTCTGCAATGTGGTGGCTTCAGGCAGACAGAGCAGCTCATTGCAAGCATCTGCATCCTTCAGCAATGTGCGGCACTGGTCCGCCATCATTCTCAGTGCGAGTAAAGACATCAGTTTTAAAATGTGTACACGTTTTCCTGAAACACCAATTTGAGATATCTTTCTACTGTTGGGAGACAGTTGAGAGAAGGAAATTTCTCACATCTAAATGTATTTTACGAATGTCTTCAGAGTATTTCAAGACTATTTATGCACATATGTGTGTTTAAGGGAAACCTATGGAACATCAATAGGGCCCACCGGGAGATCTTCAGTAGCCTGTATAATCAGTCTATAAATTGATGACTTTATGGAAATGGCGGAGATATCGCTTTCGAGGGAGAGAGAATTAGGTATGGCTCCAGGATTCCTGATCTTAACCCTATCGCTTCTTTGGACTTGATATATGACCTCAGACTAGTCACTTAAATGTGCACTGACTTTTTACATCTGGGCTAAGTCCTATACCTGCCCCCTCCCCTCCCAGTTAAAGACAAATGATGTCTTTTAAGGTTATACTTACTGGAGGGCTTTTGCCTCCGGAAAGATAGGGACTCTATACGCTCCAAACAAGTACTACTGTTACTTTTATATCTAGCAGCGATGTCTTTGGCACACAATGCAAACACATCCTTCAAGTCAGTGGTTTTCAGAGTGTGGTCCCTGGATCTGCAGCATCAGCACCACCTTTGGGAACTTGTTAGAAATGCAAATCCTGTGGCCTCAGCCCAGACCTATTCAATCAGACACTGTGGGGCTGGGACCCAGCAATCCGTATCTTAGCCAGTCCTGCAGGGCACCCTGGCACATGCCCATGTTTGAAAGTACTTAAAGCCATATCCCCATAATATAAACATTCTTATTTTAAGGAAAGCATCTAAGAATACTTTATTTCTGCCTGGCATCTTGCTCTATATTTCTGTTCCTACTGCTACCATCCTGCAACTACTAGATTACATTATTAATTACTCTTACATTACATTATTCATGCTTATTCTGGGCCAAGTGTTGAGCAAAACACTTTTTTTGGTTTATCTCACTTAATTCTTCCAATGTCCTATGAGATTGGTACTATAATTATTTCCAGTTTACAGGTGACAAATAAAGATTAGGGAGAACTTGGTGGGTAAGGTGACACAGCTGAGACTAGATGAGCAAGAATTCAAACTCAGGCCTCTGCCGCCAGAGCCTGCAGCCGCAATGACGGCTTCCATGAGCCAGAGCACAGGACAGGTGTACGCCAAATAGAATTCTATCTTGAAATGCTCTAGTGCTACTAAATTTTATTTTTTAATCATTCAACTTAGATAAAGCAGAAAGTAAAGTCCCTTACTTCAACAGTGCATTTTACAAAATTGAGATGCCAGACAACAGGTAATGGAATGTAAAAATATGTAAGACAACAAAACTAATTAACTTGGCTTAAAATACCTATTTCCTCTCTATATTACTTATCTACACAATTACAAAGTACTAGAAATAGGCAGAATTAAAATGTCTAAATATGGCCAAATGCTGGCCCAGTTAAGAGACTTCATGTCAATTCTCTTCAGGAGGGTAGGGCTGACAAACATAAAACAGATGCTTTAAAGACAGTATTGAACTTGTTTCCACATTAAGAAACTAGTGATCATCAGAGTATGTACCAATTAATTCCCTCCCAGTACTTCCTGTCATGTAGATAGAGCCTGGCTTGTCTCCCAGTGTCAGCAAAGGCTAATGGAAGCCAACTCAGGTTCTGCCAATAGTGGCCCCAAATAGCTGCCCATCCTTGGAAAGAAGAGTAAAAATAAATTCCCAGCCACAATGACCCTGTGCTATCCTCTTTGCCTGGACTGATAAATCTATGAAATCTATCAGTACATTAAAAGAGCAAGTACATTAAAAAAGAAAAACAAGAAACCATACAGTTCTTGCCTCCCGAATTCTAGCTGTTTTTACATCTGGAGAGAGAACTCGCACCAGGAAAGCCCAGTGCTCTGCCTGCTTTGAAGAGTAGTCCCCATGGACCATGAAACTCTCAGGACCCCTGCCCCACTGTTCACATCCCTAAGCCTCCTTTCTGGCGGTTGTGGGCACCTGGATTTCTCACCAGGATAAAGGGATTCAAAGTTGGGCTCTTAGAGAGTAAGGGAATGAATTCACAACTTATACATGGCCCAAAAGGTACTTGAGGAGTCTGCAGTGGTCAGTGCCATTTTAAGACCTTCATAGACCCCAAACTCCCATATTTTTAGAGGCCACCCTCCCCACATTATATCAAACATATTAAAACATTATCATACATATGAAAGATGCTAAAATATATCCACAGTCTGCCTGTTTGTCTATCTATCTATTCTTGCTATAAAGAATTTTTGGAAAGATTAAAGATTTTGGTTATGAGTAACGCATTTAATGTACAATCACGAATGACTTCTCAGTAATCATCATGTACACTCAGAAATTATTATGAAGTAAGCAAATCTGACTTTCTCCAAAGTCATTGTCAAATTAAATGGATATTTTACAAAGACTAGGTAATTAATAATTAATGAAGTTGATATAATATTAAGACTATAAACTTTTTATTAAAGCTATTGGTTTTTTATTTTGTAACTTTTTTGTTTTTTTACATTTTGGAGACAGTAAAATTAATTTAAGGTATCAGACACTTGTGTAGGCCCTATTGTGCCTACAGTGCCTGGCTGACAGAATGGTCTTGGCAGCCGGGGTTCCTGGCTTGGCCAGATAGAGAAAGCAGCCCAGATTTCCATTCTGAGGTTATTAATTCAGCCCTCGTGGACTCTGGCAAACACCATGGCTAAAGGGATGTCAACATACTTTAAAATAAAGAATGTTTTACTACAGATGGGCCCAGCAGAACACGTAGAATTAAACTAAAACGGTTCCTTCTCTTTACCTTGAGAATTGAGATTTGGCAAATGCAATTGGTTGGTTTCAGGCATTTTGTCCAGAAATGGAAACGTCAGGGTTGCTTCTGGCTCTGGAGATTTTGGCTTTACCACCTGGATCATGGGCAAATGACATAAACATTACAAGTACTGTCCATTAATAAATGCACAGGTGAAATGAAATGTAAAGATCTATAGCTATTCCCTAAGTCAATAAATCCAAATATTTAACTTTTAAATGGAAAATTTTGCTCCTTGCCCAAACCCCCTTCATGCTTTTCTACATTAACACAGAGGTCACTTTTCAGAGAAATCAAACTAGAGCCTAAAAATTTGATAATCACTTTATCCAAACCCAGAGGATGGTATTCCATCTTCAGGATTATACATCACTCTGTCTCATTTTTGTATTGATCAATCACACATTCTCTGCTTGATACTACATAATACTGAATTTGTAATGTCAGGAAATGAGATGATCCACATAAGATAAAAAAATCTTACTATGTGAGTGCTAAATATTAAAGAAATATTACCTTCTAATGGATGTTATTCTCCCAACACTATACAACCCCCCACAAACTTATGTAACGCACATTAAAGACAATACCCTTTGCCTGTTGACAAAGAAGCATTATTATAAATAATCGCTATCAAATAGTGCCATAGCAGGGATGTGCTTAGGGGATTTCTGAGGCATGTGAGACTACTTGTCCTTATGGTAGAGAGTTCCAAAATTACAGGCTTTAGAAATTCTTATGTTTGCTTTGCAGAAATAGATTGTTTTCGTTATTACTACTTAATTTTATTTTGTTTCTCTCCAATCTGAACGGCATTCAGTAGAAACATCCTTCTTCACTTTGTTGCTTCTAATCAAGTGATTGCTGAAAGACCAGATTACCCAACTAATGTCTGAAATAAGACTCAGGAGACTCTGAGCAAAGATCTGAATGAGGAGCACGGCTGTGTCAGTCGTGTCCGTTCAGCGGCTCACAGGACTTTCTTTGATTTCCTCTCTGGCTGGCGCTGTGTCCCCACTGGATTGATTTGACAGCCAACAGGGTGAGTGAGGCTATGAAACACTTGTTTCATCATAAGCTGATCTACGGTTTGGTCCTCAGGACGCTTTAATGTCTAGAATTTCTTCTCAGTAGGATTTTATTTTTCTTTATGAACAATATATTCAACCCTAATGGAATCCTGAAGAAAATACAGTTAATCACTTCATTCTGCATTACAGAGGTCAACCAGATGTCCACATGAACTTCAGTGTTAGAGAGGGAGCAAAAGCCAAGGCCTAGACTTACCAAAGTTGACAACCCTCAAATCTTAACCTCATACCATTTCCTCTATAGTCAAGTCTGACAAAAAACACGTTTCAGAAAATGCCCGGTTGTAAATGAAACAGTTAATTGTTGGCAGAAATGCTCAAAATGACCACTATGTGAAAAAGTCAGCCTATGCGGATGGGCACTTCATTTTATAAAGGTGACACCCTCAAGTGAAATCAGAGAATAAAACCTGTTGCAACCACTGTGATCACCTTTCTTCCTTTCTCTAAGAGTTAACTGTATGGTCAGGAAAAGAGAAACGGGAAATTCACATGGTGTGAGAAGAGCATTGGGTTCAAAGATGATTATTCCATTTGCTAATCAACTAGCAGAGATTCTTAACCTGGAGTTAACCACAGAACAGAATTCAGGGGGTGTATGTACTCGGTACCACTTGATACCAAGGAAAACTTGGTAATCCTGTGTATTTTATGCTTTTAAAAATATTATTCTGAAAATAATGTCTACCACATGGCCAAAGGGTTCATGGTGCACACCCGCATACACACACACTTACACAGTTAAGAACCCCTGAAAACAATTTTTTCCATAGTGGGGTAGGTATGACACTGGTGGTCCAAAGACAGATTACACAGATGAGGTAACACAGATGAGGTATGTAGATGAATACTTTTTAGCTATGGTATTCATTTTGTTTGATTTTTTTTTTAATTCTAGCAGTGATAATAGAGCTTTTCTTTCAGTTTAAAGTTAGAAAAATGTCAATTTGTTAGAATGATAAATAAATAATGGTTACAAATGTAATGCAGATAAGTCAAAACCTGAAAAGGAGGAAGTCTTGCCTGCCCCCAGTGTTTTTCCTAGTTTTAGTTCCTCCTTTCAGACCTCCAGACCATTCTTCAATCCTCTATATAGAAAAGTGGGGAATAGGGAGAGTCTGAAATTCCCACAAGGCATCAAGGCCATAGGTATTTTTGTGGTTCTACCAAGGAGACAGCACTCTCAGCTCCTCAAGGCCAGGGGCCATGTCATGTTCACTGTTGAGTATCCAGTGTCTAGTTCAGTGCCTGGCACATAGTAGGTGCACAGTCAATATTGGTTGAGTAAATGAAGGATGGACCAGAACCAGAAGTGGTAAATTTTCACTTTAGAGTCAAATCCAAATTTTGGGTTAATTTTTAAAGTTGGAATATCACCACATATAGTATATGTCAGTATGCAAGTCAGTGGTTCTCTATCTGGGCGGCCCATTAGAATCACCTGGGGAGCTTTTGAAAATACAGATGCCTGGGCCCTGCCCCCGGAGATTCTGCTTTGTTTGATCTGGAGTGCGCTTGGTATGTTTTAAATTCTAAAGGGTAGCCAAGGTGAGAAGACTGGTATAAAAGATGCAGACTTTTAGACTTTGTGCTCGAAAACAAGCCAAACTAACATAAATGAGATGAGACTCCAAAAGAGGAAGAAATTTAATAAAAACAAGGCGTTAAAACTCATTATATCAGAATAATAATTTTCTAGTTTCCTCGTTATTCAAATCTAGAGGCATCAGAAGTACCATTGCTATAAAACGGGTGGATATTGGAAAGAGAGTATTTAGCAAGCCGATAGGTTAAAGAGCAAATAAACAAGCCCATGCACAGCAAACTAAAATCTAACTGCAAAGCTTTATAACTTATATTTATGTTATATTTCTCTTTTAAATGTATCTAATTCTTCATAACTAAAAACCAGTTATTTAAAATAACTTTTAAAAGATGTTGAAAGATATATATACATACTAATATATACCAATTGTTACTAACAAAGAGGTAGGTTTCTGTGATGTTTTCTCTCTCTTGTTCTATTTCGACATATTTGTTTATTTACATCTTATTTTTAAATATATTTACATATATTACCTGATGGATTTGTTACATATTTCCATGAACATTACTGTAAATGTACATATACATATAAAAGCTGTTGCAACCCCTGTAATCACCTATCTCCCTTTCTCTAATATATATGTATTTTCCTTTTTTTCCTCTCTTTTTCTGTGTATAAACTGAATGTTTGTGTCCCCCCAAAATTCATATGTTGAAACCCTAATCCCCAGGATGATGGCATCAGGAGGTGGGGCCTTTGGCAGGTGATTAGGTCATGAGGGCAGGGCCCTCACGATTGGGATTAGTGACCTTATGAAGGAGACTCAGAGAGCTCCTCTGCCCCTTCTGCCAAGTGAGGACATAACAAGAAGCCAGCTGACTATGAACCCAGAAGAAGATTCTCACCAGACACCGAAATCTGCCAGTGCCTTGATCTTGGACTTTCCAGCCTGCAGAACTGTGAGAAAGAAATTTCTATTGTTTATAAGCCACCCAGCCTATGGTATTCCATTAGAGCAGCCCAAATGGAATAATCTATGTATCTTTCTATATGTATTTAAATTTTTACAATAAACATGTAGTGCATTTGTATTTAGGAAAAAAAATACAGATTAAAGATAGGAAAAAAGATCAGAAGAGAAAAGAAATCGTCCTTAACAACAAGTGCCACAGCAGCAGCCAGCCAAAATGTGAAGTCTCACTAACTTTTGGATTTAATTGCTTTGGTCCACTAGGGACTTCACCTTTTGTGACAGCACCAATTCCACCTTTCCGCTCATTTCATTTTCCAGTTTCTTCTGGTCTTTTTCTTCTGGCACGTCGTTCTTCGGCTGGGGGCTGGAGGGAAACTCCACAAAGGCCACAGTCGGGCTGGATCGAGTCACAGTGGTTGTAAAATGCTGTGGCTCTGAAATGGAGTCACATTCAGAAACATCAAGAAGAAGAAGACGACCATGTAAAGGACCATTTGTCCTGTGATGCCACGAAGTACATTGCGTGTGTACTTATCCTGCTCCGGGCAACAAGGAGCTGGACTGCAGTGCAATGAGCGGTATAAAAGAACCTAAGACGCCAACATTCTCTAGGCTCTTTCACATTATAAAAAACTCAAGCAACATAAAACACATCAAAGAATCCCACTACGAAAAACTCAAGTTCTTAATAAGAGTCACAGTTTACATAAGAATAACAATATATGAAACAAAACACTGAAATAGAAAATACTATGATAGGTGGGTTGGATGGGAGGACATCTATAGATAATGTCTATCCATATGACTGAGCGGCAGCCTCACTCTTCCTTTGGTATGTCAAAGCTCCTTTTTAACATCACATTTGCATAACTGGAATGTGTTGATTACATGGTATACATAATGCAATGAAAATAAAGTGTTCTCTGCTATGTAAAGAATTAGGTCTACTCTGAGTGGGTGGAAAAGTTATCATCTGAGGGAGCGTATCAAAATGTGGAGGTGCAATCTACTTAGTAGCTTATGCTAAAATTTTTAGTAATGACATTTAATTTATTTTAAAATGCCATTTAAAAATAATTTGGTACTAGAAGAGAGTGAGAGGTTTTTTGTTTTTGTTTTCTGTGAGGAAGATTGGCCCTGAGCTAACATCTGTTGCCAATCTTCCTCTTTTTGCTTGAGGAAGATTGTGGCTAACATCTGTTGCCAACATCTTCCTCTATTTTATGTGGGATGTCACCACAGCATGGCTTGATGAGTGGTGCTAGGTCTGCACCGGGGGATCTGAACCTGTGGACCCCAGGCCACCGGAGTAGAGCACGCAAACTTAACCCCTACGCCACTGGGTCAGCCCCAGAGAATGAGAGGTTTTTATGTTTATCAAAAGAAGAGGGGCCGACCTGGTGGCCGAGTGGTGAAGTTCACGTGCTCCATTTCGGTGGCCCAGGGTTTTGCTGGTTTGGATCCTGAGTGCAGACATGGCACCGCTCATCAGGCCACGCTGAGGTGGTGTTCCACACGCCACAACGAGAAGGACCCACAACTAAAACGTACAACTATGTACTTGGGGGGTCGGGAGATGGGAGAAAAAACAGAAAGAAAAAAAAAGAAGAAATGTGTTAAAAACATTGAGAAACATTACTTTAAGGAACAGTGGGTCTCTATTCACACTCAGCATCCATATTTGTGGCATTACTTTATTCTTTCAAACTATTCACCAGCTTTATCATTTCAGCATCTATTTTTATGACATATTTTTCATCTACGTCTTATCTATTGCTGTTACTGTGTGTTAATATATGGCCTTCAGTTTTTAGCATTATTTATTTGGGGAAATACAGTCTTCTTTACGATGATGGAGATACACTTTCAAAAAAAAATAAAACAAAGTAGCAAAAAAGCACAGGCTGGTGGTTTTACAGCAAGATGAATCATATGGTCGGAATTTCCCTAGCAAGCCTCTAGGTGGCAGCACAACCACACCAGTTATAGAGCTTGATATCTACCTTTCTATGGCTCAGTAGGAGAAATTCTTGACTCTATTTCCGTTATATCTTAAGAGTTATCATGATTCACCTTAAAATTAATCTGTTATGAGACAAACCTGATGAGGCAAGTTCTGTATTCCCTTTTTCTGTTTTTTCACCATCATTCTCATCTTCTTGACTGTTCAGTTCAGTTTCCTCAGTGGTTGCCTGAAAAAGAATTTTCCCCTTTGAATAAATTATCCCTTCGAAGATTCTAAAAGGTAAAAGATTTCTTTCTTCCTTTTTTCTGAATAGTAATAATTAGGCCAACAAGGCGAATTGCCTACATGAATTCACTCTTTTCTATTTCATAGGCAGCTTTATGGTGAAAGGCTAGATTTTCTTGGAAGGTGACATTCTGTGAAGGAGAACCACATTATAAGGGCGTACACGCGGCCCCCCCCAACCCCCGACCTCCCCACCTCCTCTGACTGCCTCAGATGCACATCCCCACTTTTTCCTTCTTTTTACCATTGAGTTTTCAAAATCATAGTTACCACCCACTTGCTCCAAATGCCTTTAAAGTTGGCTTAAGGTCATTTCACCAGTGAATTTTTTTTAAGGTTACACACAGCCTCTCAGTAGCTTGTCTTCAGCATAGACGCCTGTGGCTCTTAGCATTGTGGGTTTTATTCTTGATGTTCTCTTCTTTCCTGGACTCTCAACATCTCTCTATTACCCAGATCTCATTGTCTCTCTCTCTCCTCTTCTCTTACTGGTTCTTATTCCTTTTCTTTACACCAAAATATGGGGTCATCCCTAAAAACTTCAACTATTTCCCCCACCTGTGCTGAACCAGCCTCAAATGTATCGATTATCCCTATGGAGTGACCATTATGTTCTCTGTCCACTTATGACTTGTACTTTCATCTCCAGCCCTGAGAGTCCATCAAAGCTTCAGTTCGGCTGAGCTGACCATCAGTGTCATGGTAGACAGCTCACACTCAACACGCTAAAAGTTACCTGCAAACAAGCCCCTCCTCCGAATCTGATAATTTCTGTTTATAGCATTAGTTTCCCCATCACACAAATTAAAGTCTTTGAAGTGTTTCTTGACATGCACCTCAAAACTGTCCATTATTTGCCAAGTCCTACCAAGGTTCTAATGTGATAGTTTTTATATCCATCTCTTCCTTTCTGTTTCTACAACTAGGGCCTGAGTTTAGCCTTTACTCCTTTGCTCTTCCACCAAGGGGTGTCTCTGATCTGGATCTTGCTGTCTAATCCACTTGGCACGTCACTGTGATCATCTCTCTTGGTAGTACCTCAGTTTATCACTTTTATGCTTGTATTCCTGTCCTTCAGCAATACCTCAATTGTGCCAGTTTTATGCCTGATGGAATTTTTAACATTTTTAACATTTAACGAATTTGGAGTAACCTAAATGTCCAACAATTGGGTAATGGCTGAATGAATTACCATATGCCCATAAAAGGAACTATTATGCAGTTATGAAAATGTGTGTTGGACAATAGTTAATGATATGTGAAAATGCTTATTACCTAAAGTTAAGTTAAAAAGTATAAACTGTAGGGGCTGGCCCCATGGCTGAGTGGTTAAGTTCGCACGCTCCACTGCAGGCGGCCCAGTGTTTCGTTGGTTCAAATCCTGGGCGCGGACATGGCACTGCTCATCAGACCACGCTGAGGCAGCGTCTCACATGCCACAACTAGAAGGACCCACAACGAAGAATATACAACTATGTACCGGGGGGCTTTGAGGAGAAAAAGGAAAAAATAAAATCTTTAAAAAAAAAAAAAGCATAAACTGTATATAAAGTATGATGCCTACAATATAATATTTTATATATGCTCTACATATGCACAAATATACCTGCTAATACATACATAAAAATGTATACAAAAAGACAGTAAGGAAATACCCTAAAATGTTAATAAGTAATCATTTTTAATGTGCTTAAATTTTGAATGAATTTTTCTTCTTTTTAAATATATTTCCATATTCCAAAATGTTCTACAATGACCATGTATTACTTCTGTAATGAGAAAACAAAATCAATGTAATTTTACATTTTCTTTATTGGGAGCCAACTGACTCCACAGTGAATAGCAAATTTCTCCCACTGATACTATAGTAGTTGCTTGATAAAAGTAAATGAAAGGTTGACTTGATTACTGGTTAGAATATACCTCAGCAACCAAAGAGAATAAGTTAACGACTATCATGTTTTTTAGCAATAATGTCTTATTATAAAGAGCTAAAGTTGAATTTTTAAAGTGTGTATGAAATATTTCATAAATTTTAAAAGGTTTTAAGATAATGACTAAAATTGGTTGCAGAAAAGGCATTATTAAATACTTTATAAAATATCCCCATGAGTTCTCTAAAAGCTGTGGCTTTATGGGTCTCTCATAAGGATATATATTTTATGCATAAATCAAAATTTGCCCTTCAAGTAACCAAAATGAAAGCCCTTTAAAGTTAATGTATTGGTGGAAATTGTCATTGAATTTTTTAAAGACAAACTACGCAAGGACGAAAGAATGGTTCAAAATATGCAAATCAACAAATGTGATATACCATATTAGTAAAACGAAGGATAAAAATCATATTATCATCACAATAGATGCAGAAAACACATCCTTTCATGATAAAATTCTCAACAAATTAGGTATAGAAGAATGTACCTAAACATAATAAATGCCACATTTGACAAGCTCACAACTAATATCATACTTAATGGAGAAAAGCTGAAAGTTTTTCCTTTAAGATCAGGAATGAGACAAAGATGCCCACTCTCATCACTTCTATTCAACATAATACCAGAAGTCCTAGCTAGAGCAATTAGGCACAAAAAAGATAAAAGGCATCCAAATTGGAAAGGAAGAAGTAAAATTGTTTCTGTTTGCAGATGACATGATCTTATGCACAGAAAACCCTAAAGACTCCATCAAAAAACTGTTGAAACTAATAAATAAATTCAGCAAAGTTGCAGGATACAAAATCAATATACAACTATTTGAAAAAGAAATTAAGAAAACATTCCCATTTACAACAGCATCAAAAGAATAAAACACTTAGGAATAAATTTAGCCAAGGAGGTGAAAGATCTGTACACTGAAAACTATAAAACATTGATGAAAGAAATTGAAGAAGACACAAATAAATAGAATGATAGCTTATCTTCATGGATTAGAAAAATCAATATTGTTAAAATGTTCACACTACCCAAAGTGATCTACAGATTCTATGCAATCCCTATCAAAATTCTAATAGTATTTTTCACAGAAACAGAAAAAACAACACTAAAATTTCTATGGAACAACCAAAGACCCAAATAGCTACAGGGATCTTGAACAAGAAGAACAAAGCCAGAGGCATCACATTTCCTCATTTCAAATATATTGCCAAGCCATAGCAATCAAAACAGTAACATACTGGAATAAAAACAGACACATAGATCAATGGAACAGAACAGACAGCCCGGAAATCAATGTGCACTTTTCCAGTCAAGTAATTTTTGACAAAGCCTCCAAGAATATAAAATGGGTAAAGGAAGGGCCGGCCAGGTGGCGCAGTGGTTAAGTGCACACATTCCGCTTCAGCGGCCTGGGGTTTGCTGGTCCAAACGCCAGGTGTGGACACGGCACCGCTTGGCAAGCCATGCTGTGGCAGGCATCCCATTTATAAAGTGGAGGAAGATGGGTACGGATGTTAGCTCAGGGCCAGTCTTCCTCAGCAAAAAGAGGAGGATTGGCAGCAGATGTTAGCTCAGGGCTGATCTTCCTCAAAAAATAAATAAATAAATAAAATGTGTAAAGGATAGTCTCTTCAATAAATGGTGTTGGGGAAAAGTGGATATCCACATGCAAAAAAATGAAATTGGATTCTTATCTTACATCATACACAAAAATCAATAACTAAATGGATTAAAGACTTAAATACCTGAAACCACAAAACTCCTAGAAGAAAACAGGAGGAAAGCTCCTTGGCATTGGTCTTGGAAATGATTTTTTTGGATTTGACACCAAAATCACAGGCAATGAAAGCAAAAATAAAAAGGTGGGACTATATCAAACCAAAACATTTCTGTACAGCAAAGAAAATAATTAACATAATGAAAAGACAATCTATGGAATGGGAGAAAATATTTACAAATCCTATGTCTGATCAGATAAGAGGTTACTATCCAAAATATATAAGGAACTCTTACAACTCAATAACAAAAAAACCCAAATAACCCAATTAAAAAATGGGCAAAGGACCTGAATGAACATTTTTACAAAGAAGATATATAAATGGACAACAGGTATATGAAAAGATGCTCAACATTACTAATCATCAGGGAAATCAAAACCACAATGAGATATCACCTCATACCTGTTAGAATGGCTATTACCAAAAAGTCAAAAGATAACAAGCATTGTCCAGGATGTGGAGGAAAGGGAACTCTTGTACACTGTTGGTGGGAATGTAAATTGGTACAGCGATTATGGAAAACAGTATGGAGGTTCCTCAAAAAATTGAAAATAGAACTACCATATGATCCAGCAATTCTACTTCTGGGTATATATCCAAAGGAAATGAAATTAGTATCTCGAAGAGGTACCTGCATGCCCATGTTCACTGTAGCATTATTCACAATAGTCAAGATGTGGAAACAACCTAAGTGTCAATGGATGAATGGATAAAGAAAATGTGATGTGTGTGTATATATATATATAAAATATCTATATATTATATATAAATATTAATATTATATAGAAATATACAATTGTATATATACAAATGTTTATATATATATATATTTATGTACACACACACACTCACACACAGTGGAATATTACTGAGCCTTAAAAAGAAGGAAATCCTGGGGCTGGCCCCGTGGCCGAGTGGTTAAGTTCTCGCGCTCCGCTGCAGGCGGCCCAGTGTTTCCTTGGTTCGAATCCTGGGCGCAGACATGGCACTGCTCATCAAACCACGCTGAGGCGGCGTCCCACATGCCACAACTAGAGGGACCCACAACGAAGAATATACAACTATGTACTGGGGGGCCTTGGGGAGAAAAGGGAAAAAAATAAAATCTTTAAAAAAAAAGAAAAAAAGAAGGAAATCCTGCCATTTGCGACAATATGGATGAACCTGAGAACATTATAGTAAGTGAAACAAGCTGGATACAGAAAGACAAATATTGCACAATCTCAGTT